GAGGGCAAAACCAGATCTAGTTAATTCCTGTGCAAACCCACATAATTAAAGTATTGATTTTTCCTCCCTCTATTAGACTAGGTCGCATTGTCCAATTGAGTCTCTTTGTATTGTTATGAGAAAATGTCTCTGGCTTTGGCAAACACCTGTCAGAGTGTCCTTGGCTCTCACGGCTGTCTTCTTGCTATTCTCTCTCCCCCTCCCCTCCACGATGGTTCGCTGGGAAGCTGAGAATAGATAATGGTTGCAACACAAAAGCGCACTTCAAAACTTGATAGGCAACCTCCCCCAAAAAACATAGTAGATACCTGGAAAACAATAATTACTCGTTACTATAATTTACTTTGAATTCCTCCCTGATGGGGCCCTGGCTTCTGAGGATATTTTGCATGGAATCTGCCTATTAAGTGACCTTTTTAATATTATGGGCTGCCAAATGACAGGCAGGCAGTAGAAGTCGCCTGCAGTACTCCATTCAACCCCGTGTGCCACTCTTAGAGGCATTGCATTCCATCCCATTGGGTGACCTTGGAGCAGCCCACCGCTCTCAGAGGACAATGCAAAGCTTTGAGTTTCTTTCCCCCCCCCCTTTATCTCACCCAGCAGCTCCTTCCCCCTCCCCAGCATCCCGTCACTCATGATAGCCCGGCATCCAGCTAAGCAGGGCCGGTGCAGCAGGATGGCAGGTCTGACAGGCTCCGTCCCTGTGCGTTTCATTTTCCATTTCATTTGGAAGCTGGATGCCAGGGTGGCAATAATAATGTATTGGAGATAATAAAAACCCAACCCTTCTTCTCTAGCTCCCATGCATGGGAAAAGGGGGTCCTGGGGGGGTCTGGGAGATGCTGTAAGCAAACAGATTGACGGGTGGCAGCTGAAGCAGCTTTTGCCTGGTCTAGAAAACCAGCCAGTCATCTGGTTGGCTTTGCAGCTCAGCCTGAATGCTAAGCAAACGGTGAGCAAACTCCCTTGTGAATTCTGCTTTCCCAAAGGCAAAGCTCAGGTGCAAATGGAAGGCGGCTCCTTGGGAAGATGGCAGGCGGGACAGAATTAAAGCTTCGCTGCTTTCCTCGCTTTCTCTTTTCCTTCCTTAAGGTTAAGTCTCCTTCCTCGCAGCCTCTCTCCGGGGAGGGAAAAGCGCAGGTGGTCTCCTCGGACCTGCTATTCATCCTTTCAGCAAAAGCTCAAGTCAGCTCAACGTGCTGGAGCTGTTCATTGAAGGGGATTGTTTGTTTTTGCTTAAAGGGATTGTTAATTTGCCCAGCAGTCTCATTAGGCCTAAACTGCCAGTTAATTTCGTTTGTTCTCATTAAATGGCTGATTCCTAAATCTTTCACGCCAAGAAGATCCTCTCCTGTGTGGCTCCCAGACTGTGGAATCATCCCTCCAAGAAGTATGTTGCGAACGACTCTTTTAATATTCAGGACAGAGACTGCAAAAGTTCTTTCCCCAAGCTTTTAACTGTTAATTGCATTGGTGTTAATTGGGGTATTAATTATATTGATTGTGCTGCCATGTTTTATAACCTTTATTTTCCTTTGTCACACTAAACTACTTGGGAATATTTATAAAAGCAGAAAGGTGGAGTATATATTTATTCATCTATTTTTCAAATACTGCAAATCTTAAGCTGTTAGAGTAATTACTTAATATCTCAAATTAGAATCAATGTGAAAATCAGCTTCTTCAGACTTCTTTGCTTTCTGTTTATTTAGGCTTCTCAAATGAGATAGTTTCTGACTAGCCTACAGGTGTGACCTGCTCTGCTGCCTTCTCAAAGTCACCTGAATAAAGGAAGGCGGACTGGCCTCCTTGAGCATTTGGGATCACTGCTCAGCGGCACTTTTATTTACTTTATTTATTTATTTATTTTATTTTGTCAAGCGATTATTAGATAACACGTATAAGTATAAACATGGTTATGAATACAAGAAATGGATACGAATAAGAAAAATAAAAAGAAACAATAGGACAGGGACGGTAGGCCCGTGGGGCACTTATGCACGCCCCCAAGCCCCCCTGCCTGGATGCTTCTGCTTTTAGATGGGTTTTTCTTTATTGACATTGCATTGCTTTTGCTGATAACAGAGTGCAGCAACTGGGACATGGTGGCCTGCTCGTCTTCAGAGTAAAACTGAAGCAAGCAATGTAATTTGCCTGGATCACAGCATATCAGGCCGAGGTATGCTGTATAACTTAACAGACCCATTCTCTGCACTGAGGGAGCCTTTTTCAAGATAAAAGTAAATATTTTATGATTTATTTACCTTTTTCATTCATGTAACTACTATGCTGCTGCAAGAACTAAAGTGGGAAATAAATCATCCGAATACATATATGGAACTGACTGCAATAATATGATATGGTAGATTACTTCTAATCCTAACCCTGCACAGCATTGGATCTCCTCTCCTCTCATGATTGTACCAAAAAGCAAATCTACTGGGGCAAACCAACCTCTCTATCTGGTGACAGACAGAATGCTACGTGCTCAAAATGTGTCAGTCTTTCTGTCAACGGAATATGAGCCAATCATTGACAAGTATGACCTTTCATTTCCAATTCTTTTTAATTTAAGTTCTCCTTTGAAAAAAAGTTAATCAGCACCCATCAATTAAGATTGTGTAACTATCATTATTCTTCTAAAAACTATAAAGCAATTTGGTGAATCAATCTTGCTTGATACTTGTTCCAAACCTTCAATATAGCAAGCCTAATAAAATGATTTTTCAAATCTGTATTAACTTTAAATTGGGTGATACTATAAATAACCATACCACCCAAATCTCAAATTATGTCTTTCCAACTTCAATAATCTCCTATTTCTTAAAGTCACCCACTCATCCATACTGGATAGCAAGCAGCAAAGTACAACGAAGACTTTATAATTAAACAGGTATTTGGGAGATGATATGCTTAATAAGTGGGAAAATATGTGGAGCAAAGGACTGAAATTTACATTGAATTATAATTTTAAAATTATTTTTTATAAAATGATGTGGTGAAAATGATAAAGTGTCAAATACAGAATGGAAAGGCAGTTTCTATCATCTTTGGTGGGCATGTAAGAAAAGTAGAAAATATTGGGACCAAGTATGTATTTTAATTCAGAGAATTTTAAAAATAAATTTACAAATGAAACCAGAGGTTTTCCTTTTACATTTGATGGCTAAACAGATGAACAGATGGGATTTTGTTTCTTTATATTGCAACAACAAGACTCTTGTATGCACAGAAATGGAAAGACTTAAAATTCCTACACGGGAAGAATAGTAAATAGATGAGGAACAGAGGTTGCATTCAGCAGGTTCTGACCGGTTCTGGAGAACCGGTAGTGGAAATTTTGAGTAGTTCGGAGATCCGGCCAATCCCACCTCTTCTCTGCCTCCCATCGAGTCCCAGCTGATCGGCTGGGTCTTCTTTGGTTGCCCTGCGCAGGAGAACGGAGCTGGAAAGCAGCTTAGTGGGGTGGGGAGGGAAGCGGGATTTTACAGTATCCTTCTCCTGCCACGCCCACCGAGCCACGCCCACCGAACCGGTAGTAAAAACCTTTGAATCCCAACACTGAGGAGGAAGTTAATGGAGTTGGCTGAGGTGGCAAAATGGACTGCTCTGATTATAGACAAAACTTGTCTAACTTTGTTTCTACTTGGAAACCACTATTGGACTTTTTGCTATAAACTAAAAGAAATGAACATTTAATTTGGGGATTTGACAATTAGAACTGTTCGTTTTTATAGAAATGCTGTGTATTATTGTTAATTTTAGAGTAAAAGGTGAATGCATTTGTATCTGTATCTGCCCTGAAGAAAGCTGAAAGATTGTTTTGGGTTGTTTTTTTTGCTTTTTCTTTAACCTCTCTTTCCTAAACTATCTTTTCTTTGTTGCTGGTTTTATATTTTACATTTTGCTGAAACCTAATACCATTTTTTTAAAAATAAAAAGGAAACCTACCATTTAAAAAAGATGCCTACCAGTAAGGGTTTTTTGCTTCTGCAATACCGGCTTCCACTTGTGGCTGCTTTGAGAAGCAACCTCCGCTCCCAGCCAGGAGAACAACTCCGGGGCTCCCTGGCAGCAAGCCAGCCTTCATTGGGACTCGATTACAGTAATTAAATCTGGCGAGATGCAGCCGTGGAACAGATGAGGGTGGGGGAGGCCAGAGGAACGTTACGCTTCTTGTCATCAGCTAGAGAGAGCAGCAACTGATGGACCCTCCAAGCTGCCTCCTGCCATCTGCTCCGGGAGCCGGAGACGAGGCGGTGGAGGCAAGGAAACAAGCGGGAGGGCGTGGAGAGGGCCCTGAGCCAGCGTGTCTCCTGATACCAGGATTGAAGGAAAGGTCTCGGTTTCGGCCGAAGAGGAGCCCCCCCCCCGTCCTTCTGGGTTATGGCCGCAGCCCCACCCCCCCCCCCAATTCCGGAGAGAATGAACACCCAAGGCATAAAAGGCTGCTTAGCAGGAACCACCTCTGGGCTCCCCTTTGACCGTTTTCTTCACCCCGGATGATGTGGCAAAGCGCACACTCACCAGACCGGTTGTTGTGCCGGTAGGATCCCACCCCTGCTTATAGCTAACAGAAATTGAGTTATTGCCTCATTTCATTCCGTCTTATTTCATTACCGCTCAGCTCCTGCATTTCTGCACGTAAAATCAGCTGTTACTCTAGTCCCTCTTTATCTCTGCTACAGGCTTCAAAAACACTGGATACGAAAGAGGAGGAGTGTACGGTATCGCTGGGGGCAGTGCTTATCCAGGCAGGGTAGCCCTCCCATCTCAGAGAAATCAGAGGCACTTCAAAAATCAACCAACATCTCTGTTGTAGCAGTATCTCCAATAGCTTAAATATTCAATCTCCCTCAAGGAGAATCCATCCATTTCCAAAGCCAAAACTGACTTCTTATGCCATCAGAAAACCCTCCTTCACTATTAGCCGGAATTCCTTTTTTTCCTTTTTTTTTTTTACAATTTGGACCAAATGGCTGGTGTTACACTCTGAGCAATAAAAGCAATTTGCCACTCATCCGAACAAATTTGCTGGGAAAAGGTGCGGTGTAGCAGGAAAGAAAAATACCCTCCTAAGGCAGCCTAAATTCTGGCAGACCAAGTAGACAGCCGTTCCCAGGCACACCACCACCGCCCCCCTCCCGGCTAGGAGCCAGCCTCTGAGCTACTGGAGTGCCCTCTGGCAGCAGGAACCCTGTCCTCACACAGCCCAATGCCTGCCCCCAAGGAAGTGGGGCTGGCTGCTCTCCTTTCCCCTTCCAATAAAGATAATAAGTACAAGTTACAGCTCCAACCAGCAACCAAAGCAGCTCACAATTTGGCCTTTTATCCTATCCTCAAAAAGATCAAGCAGTGGAAATGTCACAACAACCAGGGTGAAGAGATTGAATGCACGCAAGAATTCACATTCCTGGAATCACAGCTTGATCAAAGCAGTGAATGTGGTCCATAAATAAGGGGTGAAACTGCATCGATGAGCAAACATTGAGTAGGGAAAAGCAAGGACATCAGCTTGGCTACTAAATGCAGATTACTCTGCATTATTGCATTTCTCAAAGCCACCTACAGTTGTGAAAGTTTGCCATGAAAAAATGAGACAGGAAGAAACTGACTTGTTCAAGCCATGATATTGGAGCAAAGGTGACAAATAAGCAAGTACCAATATAAACCAGTATATCACTCAAAGCCAAAATCACACAAAAAAACCACCTTATTTATTGTCATTCAACTAACTGGAAAAGGCAGTTATACCCATAATGGTCATTGGTAAAAGGAAACTAGCCACCCAGTGGCTAGAGAACATCAAAGCCGAAACCGGCCAAGCATAAAACAAGGCCATACAAGAAGTTTGCAATGTGGAGAGAACTGGCCCATACAATCAGGCACAATTGAACAGATTGCATCATCATCATCTTCATGTAACATAAGGACTTTAAATATACAATGTAATCATGGATTGATTGGACAAATTCCTCCTCCAAGCAACCGCATTTCCAATTCTTCAGCGAAGGACAGTTCTAACAATAAGGGAACATGGTCTACAAACAATGAGAAAAACAGGGTATGTTTGGGTTATAAACATTCTTAAAATATGATGCTAAGAATGAATTTCTGCTAGAAATTCCTAGCTTCTGGGGAAGCTGTTGCAGCCTGGTTGAAAAGTGAATAACTAACTTTACACCTCAAGTTATTGGAAACTTGCTCATTTGCAAAGTTTAAGGAACATAAAATGTAGACCAGCACAAAGCAGAATCATGATTTGTAGCAATTCTCCCCTCCATTTGCGGGGAGGGGGTAGCTGACCTGTAACTACATATATGAATGCTCCCGTTAATCTTGGTTCACACCCAGAAATGGACACGGAACATCTATGACCCGACCCAACGCCACCGACCATCTAGCTGAAGCACCTCCGGCCTGCCGGTTCTTTTTTCAGTGGAAGGAAAAAGAGACTCAACCCAAGGATTTGGCACCCCAGACGAAGAATCTTCCTTTGTGTACCAGCATGGCCTTTAATAGAAACAGGTAGGTTCTTTTTTTTTCACCATTAAGCTATAGTTACCTTTTTTAAAAACCAGATCAAAATTAACAATTAAAAAATAATCCATAAAATGTGGTATAAAAATTCTTTTTCATAGGCTACATTACAAGGCAAGATCTCCTGCTACACATATACGCAATTTCCTGTGTTTAGTTTTATTCGCTCCTTGAGTACAAAACGGCCAGGAGTGGCTCCCCCTCCCTGCTCCCGTCCCCACGTACAAGTTTTGCCCAGGCCAACAGGCTGAAACACGGATTGCCAAAAGCCACAGGAACCCCCCTGTCCACCATCCCATAGAGGAACCGGGTTCATCAGTAAACTTAGAAACAACCTGCATTTAAACATTATTATCCATTACTTTACTTTCATCGGAGTAAAAAAAAAAAAAAATCCCAGCACAAGCTGCTCTTATGTGTTTCTTGGGTCCCTGAGCGTTAACTGTTGTGTTCTCGAACACGCATCCTCTCCGTCTTTGGGTCTGAAGGCCGCTGGTGGGCAAGGCATCCTGTTGCCCCAGCTGACAAGTGCTTTGAAAACAGCGACTTCTCCGCTGCCCTCGGGATCGGGAGAGAAGGGTCCCATTGGAGGCTCAGGCCTGGCCCAGAGAGAAGACTCAACGCCACAAGAACCACTCACTCCACCCACCCAGCAGAGGAAACCATTTCGCCTTGGGGGACCCCTTGGCTCGGGCTGGTAAGAGTTTCTCCGAGCCTATTTTCGAGGGGAGGGCAGGCAGGCAGGGAAAGGACGGCAGCCACCCCCAGAGTGGAAGCAGGACGGAGGCGGGACACGGCGAGGGCAGGCCAAGGAGGCGGCGGCAGCAGCGGCAGCAGCAGGAAACGAGGGGGGGCCACAACACGCTGCTGGCTAGCGGGCCAAGGAGGCGTCCGCAATGAAGCTCCTCTCTTATCTACAGTTCCGACAAGCCTGACGGGGGAAGGAGACCCGTGGCCCCTCCTGAATGCAAGTCCAGGGCGTTAGCTGCCTTCTGGTCACAGGTGCCAGGACTAAGAACCGAGGGAAAGACACAGGCCAGCAGGGACAATGCGTGGCCGCTGATCAGCTGGACGGAGCCGATTCCCAATTCCTTCCAGAGTTTTACTCCAAGGCCGCCACAGAAGATCCACCCAGGTCATAAATCCCTCCGCAGGGCACCAAAGGACTCCGCAGCTGCTCTCCTTTTCGTGTTCTTCTACCAGAGTCCTAGCTACTCAGTAGATTACTTCGTAAACTGTGGCCTTCTTGTCACCCGAACCTGTGACAATGTATTTGTCATCTGCTGAAATATCACAGCTTAAAACGGAAGAAGATTCTTTTGACTTGATGGGGAAAATAAAAAGAAACAATCTCTTTTAGTTTTCACAGGATCAGACAGCAATATCAGCAAGTCTCTCGCTGGTGCTCGCATGCACACGCCTCTGCAACTATGTGCAGGCAGCGGGAGAAGGGAGAACACGCGTGCGGGTGGCTCTCTTTGCAAGAACATGGGGCAAGTTGCAGGCTGCTCAAGACTCGGAGGAGCCAGGCCTGCTCCCCTGCCAGCCTTCCCCCAACCCAGGGGAAAGGAAGCTCTCACCTGGAAGATGCTGGCTCCATAGGGAGTCCTCCAGGCATTGAGGAGGTTGTCTTTCCCCGTGCTCACAAACCACTTTCCTACGGACACAAACCGGGCATTAGCTTTCCCGACAAGAAAACAAGGCTGGAGGGAGGAAAGCGTCCTAGGCCCAAAGGACTTTCCTAACTCCCTGCCAGGGGGCCCGGCCTCGTCCCGACTCCTATTCCCCCCTTTTCTCAAAATGGGCAGGTCATGGAGCGGGCTCCGGCTTCCCCTTACCGCTGCAGGGGTAAACAGCTGCACACCTTCGGGAGAGGCCTGGTCCCTCCCGGGTCTCCACCTGCAGGGATCAATTCCTGGCCCCCAGAGGCACTCACCACAAGAGGCAAACTTCAGTGAGAGCACACAGCTTTCGTGCAGGTGAAGCTGGTATTTGTCAGGCTTGGTGTGATGCAGCACTTCCACGTTGCTGCTCTCCAGCCCCACTGCAAGCCAGTCGCCCGTTGGGCAGTAGCCGAGCGAGAAGATCTACGAAGGAGACGAGGCGCAGCAGCTCAGTCCAAGGCCAAAACGAAGGGCTCCCAAAGCAAGAGGAGAAGGACGAGGAGATGGCTGGTTCCGCTGCCAGGACACACCCCTCCCTCCCTCCCTCCCTCCCTCTCCCCATCAGGCTCCTCCTCGCTTCAGACCGGCTTTGCCTTGCAAACTGAGGCCCCTGGTTGGGTTTCGTGAATTTTAAATCCAAGTCAGGCTGGGATTCCAGGAGCCAGTTTGGGAGCTGCCAAGGGCCACAGGTAAGGCTCCTTTTGGTCCTAGAGCCCAGCTCCACCAACCTGGCTGGTCCTTTTAGTTCTTCCTGCCTGCAAGGACTCAGGCTCAGAGGGGTTGGGCCTCTGGGGTCAAGACAAGGCTCACCTGAGAGGTGAAGTCATGTTGCTGTAGCTGCCTGCCTTCCCGAAGGTCCCAGGAGCGCACGGTGTTGTCCAGGCCCCCCGTCCAGAGTTTGGTGCCATCGTGGGAGATGTCAATGCAGCTGGCGCCATCCGTGTGACCCTGGAACTGCCTTAGAAGGGAGCCAGTGTATAAGATTAAGTCAGAATGAAAATTAGAATCTCTCTTATAAAATGATGGGAAAATACTCAAACGAATGTTTAATAATTGATACTACATAAGCACAAGCTAGATTAATGAGGTGAGAATTTCTATAACTTGTGAGTAATGGTAAAAAAAGGATAGCACAAAAGATTGTAACCAACTGACACACTGTGTGTATATAAAGGAAAGAGGGTTTTATGTTTTTATGTTTTGTTTGTATGTCTGTAGTAAAAAATACAAACTTTGTTTTAAAAAAAAAAAAAGAAGAAGGGAGCCAAGAATCGGCTCTTGTTTCCTGTTACTTGTGACGTTCACAGAGCCCCTCGATTCATTCCGGCCAGCCTACCAGACAAGCCCAATCACCTCCCCCACGAAAGATGGGGGGCCATCCATCTCATCAGGCGAGTACCGAAGGGGGCACCCCAGCCCCTGGGGAAAGGGGAGGCTCCCACTGCCAGGACCCCAAGGTCAGGCCACACAAACTCCTGGGGGGGGGGATATTGCTGCAGAGGGGAAGTGACCCCACTGAGACAGGACATTTATCCCAGGACTCCTTAGATGACCCTGTTTGACGGGTGGGACCCTGGGCAGACAGACAGGGAGACCCCGGGGCTTGATTTAGGCTTCAGGTGTACCCAGATGCCCACTGGTCACTGGCCCAACCCTGATACTCTGACGGCTCATAACCGCCCACGTGGCTGCATTCTGGATTACTTCCAGCTCCTGAGGGGCAGCCCTGGGTGAAGCTGATGTTCATACTCCACACACGAGTGGCTACCAGAAAGGAACCCTGGTCCAGAGGTGGACACAACTGGCACCACACCAGAGGAACCCGGACAAAGCAGAACCTGGGGGTTCACGAGCCCAAATTCCTTCCCTTGCAATGATGAAAAACACCTGGCTGACCCCCTGAAGGAATTCTCGGGCATCTGGCTGGCCGACCGGAGAGCCAAGCCACGTAAGCAACGAGTCCTCGGTGCAAGGAAGGGCTGGAATAAGCAGCTCTTCTTGTCCCGCCCGTTTGGCTTCTCCTCTCTTTTTATTTCCTAAGAGACGTGATTTTGTTGTGCCAGGCAGTGAGAAGCCGGCTTCTGAACAAGAGAAGGCGGATGCCACCTGCACACCGTTCGTGCCAGCCACCCCTCAGCTCACCTAACCAAGGTCTGGTTGTGGAGATCCCAGACGGCAATGTTTCCGTCACTGCAGCAGGAGAAACAGACTTTGGCATCGGGGCTGATGGCCAAGGCGTAGCAGGCGGGGGCCGAGGAGGTCAGTTCGGCCTTGATCCTGGGGGTGGGGGAAGCCAGGTCCCAAATGGTGAGGGTGCTGGCCTCCCCGCCCACGATCAGCGTGCGCCCGTCGGGAAGGAGTTTGCAGGAACGGATGTAGTTATCCCTGTTCTGGAGAGAGAAGCGTCAACCGTACAACAAGAAAAGCGACGGCAGGGCCCCTTCGAAAGGTCTGGAGGCCCACTTGCCCCAACCGATGTGGGATTAGAACTCTTCACGGAGACAGGAAGATCAGCATTAAATGTCTGCAAGGCTTTAGCCTGATTCTTCTTTAAAACCAGCACCGCCCCCCTCTCTTCCCCCTCAAGGAGCCCTGGCCTTGGCTTGCTCCAATTCGTGACCCCCGATCTCCAGTTACACCTTTCCTGGCCCTCAGAATCTGACGTTCTGCCCCCCAAAGGGCCACCTTGCCCATCCAGCTGCTGTAGGAAGAGCTAGGGAAGGACTTTTCTCCTCTGGCCACCCAGCCAGGCTCATCTCTGGGCGGCCAACAACCACTACAGACAAAGTGATAAGAAACCAATCAACGCCGTCCATGGAGCAGTTGCCAAAACTTGGAACCATCCCGTGAAGTGGGGCTCACCCCACAGCCTGACCCAGGCGGGGCTCCGAGGAACCTCTGCGTGTTTAGCATCTTCAAGAAGGCCAGCAAAGTCAGAGCATCCAAACCGCGTGAGGGGGGAACGCCGCCCTTCCTTTCCTGTGAGGGGTCAGCGTTCAACGGAGGGGTCTCTTCTGCTGGATCTCTTGGGACCGGCAGAAGCCACTGGAGGTGGGCAGCCCCACAAATACCCCGGTTGGCAGCTCAGTCGGGGATGACCTGACTTCCCCGACCAGGTTCAGACAGCGGCCAGCCCTGCCCCTTACCAAGCAGTCTAGCTGGGAGACGGGGTTCTTGGTGCCCGGCTGGCTGATGTCCCAAATCTTCACGCAGCCCTTTCCCCCTGTGTACACGTGCCTGGTCGGGTTGCTGATAGTCACGGCACACACCACTTCGCCATGGCTCAGGGTACTGATCTGACGGGCGTGGCGGGGGATGCCAGGGCCGGCAAGGGCATCGTGAGGAAACGGGACTGGCTGCATCTGCCCATCGGTGCTGACGTGAAAGGAGTACGCCCTAGGGAGAGGACGGGGGGCGGGGGGGGATGGAGAGAAGACAAGGGGGGGCAGAGCTGAGCCCTTTTCAACAACCGAATTAACCTCGACCCACAGGCCAAGGGCCACCTCGGGCTCCAGCCTCAGACCCACGGATCAGTCTCAAGCTACCTTTGTGGCACTTGCCACATTTGGGAAGGCAAGTTACCCCCCTACCCCCCCCGCCCTTATTAAGTGGCTGTCTCTCTACAGAACAAGATTCGAGACTAAAAAAGTGGGAAGACTGGGCCTGGGGACAAAGGCTGAGAGAGCAACTCACGGTTTGCCGCCAGGAATGGATGCCAGGCTGGAGGGCAGGACAGGAGTCCTCATTGGGGGGTGGGGGTCAAACCCAACCTAGATATGAGAGTTTTAAAGGCCCTCAATAAAAGGGTGGAAGCCCCGATTCCCACCTCCAGGAAAGGATTCAGGGACCCCCAACCCCTGGCCTTTCAAAGCCCCAGCGGTCAGAGGCCACAGAGGCAGAAGGACGTAGCGTGCAGCTCCTCCACTCAGAGGCTCCACTCGGAGAACGCCCGGCGCAGGTGCCAATTCCCCTGCAGGGGGTTGCTTTCATTGCAGAACATCTTGAGGTCCCCCAAGAAAGCCTTCAGCCAGATCCCTTGGCCCTAAGACCAGGTTTCCCCTCAGGGTGAGGGGCTGGCAGCCGTTCAGACCCAGCAACCCCCGATAGCCTGACTGGGTTATTATTCTTGAAATGCATTTTTTGGTATTCCCCATTTTTTCACTGGAACAATTCAGGCCTCTGGTTTCCCCCGCTTTTGATGCACGCTCTTCCGGAAGGCGCCGAAGGCTCGGTGCTGCCAGCAGGCCTGGGGAACCCAGAGCGGGAGGGAGCCCATTAAAGGGAGGGGGGTGATTTTATGATGTTATATTGATATATTTGATTCTTTTCTATTAGTTTTATATTGTTTTAAATATGGTTTTACATTTTACAGTAAGCCACCCTGAGTCGCCATGTGCGAATAGGCAGCAATATACATTGAATAAATAAATTAATTTCTTTTCTTTTTTGGCCCTGTCTAGTTTTACTTTCTTTTGTGTGTCCCCCTTTTTGGTTGTTGTTGTTGTTGTATTTTAACAATGAAAAATAAAAAAAAAATATTGAAAGAAAGCAAGAAAGGAGTGTCCTTCTTTCCTCCAGGGGTGACCGCCTGCTTCTCCCCCCCCCCCCCCCCAAAATAGAGAGAGGAGCTTAAAGGTCCACGTACAGCTCCAAAGCTCACCATGGGCGACCGGCCATAGGCAACGGCAGCGGCTGTCATTTGAGGGGGGATGTTGTGCAATCCTGCATAGGCCCCGGGGCTGGCAAGGGAGCCATTCATCTCGGGGTGCCCCATCATGGCGAAGGGGCCAGCGTAAGAGCTGGCCAGGGAGATGGGCGTCCTTCCTAAGGCAGATGCTAGAAAGAGTCAAAGAATAAGCAAACAATCCAACACGAAACGCAAGATTGGGCCATCACACGGAGCAAAAGGAACGAGGGTGCTACCATCCTTTGTCCAAAGTCCTAACGGGAGGCTCCTGCAAAGGGCAAGGAACTGCAGCTCTAACTGGCAGGGAAGCCAAACTGGGCCAGGGGGCAAGGACAAATTCTGAGCAGCAAGAGAGCGATTGAGTCCCAGTCCGGCCGAGACAGGAGTTGATGGAGCCCCTGGAGGCTCTGAAAGGGGGACTAGAAGGGGACGGAATGGCCGGTGTTCTTGTCCTGGGCCTAGAGGATCCCCTCCTGCCCGCCATCCCAACCTCTCCCTCCGTCTTGGGGTGCAAGGGGACCGAGGCCAAACACCACCTACCCAGGGGGTCCATTCCAGGGGGCTTGCCTGGCACCGGTCGGAGGCCCGGGGTGCTGCTTGTCCCAGGGGTCGCTACTTCGCTCCTTGGCGTGGGAGGGTTGGACTTCAAACCAGGCGTGGAGGATTTATCCTTCTGATTCAGAAAAGATTTGGGGGAAGGTTGGACCATCCTGTTGCATTTCAACATTGTTCGTTTTAAGTAAGGACAAAATAAAGGGTTGCCTTTCAATCTTAAAATCAGTTCAAAAATTCACTCTCTTTTAACAGGATGCAAAAATTGTGAAACATCTTAGATTTTGTGTTAAATTTATATTTTACCAACACAGAAATAAAGGGAGACTAGTATAGATCTACCATATTTTTCAGACTGTAAGACCCTCCGAGTTAGCCCAAAACACAGTTAATCTTTTCCCACGAAACCTCTGGGGTTGCCCCTCTGTCTGGCCCTTCTTGCCCCCATCACTGGGGCAAAACCTGGAGCTACAAGATGCGGCTGGCTTGGGATCAGGTCAGCTTCAAGGGCCCAAGGCCCGCTGGGCAAGAACAGCCCCCCCACCGCCCTTTGTCCCTGGACCCTCGTAGGCCAAGCCCAAGCCCCCCCCCCCCCCCCCCGGGGGCGGGCCGGTGTTCCAGGGGCGGGGGCCCCCCCCCCCCCGGGGAATGGGGGCCCCCCCCCCCCACGGACGGGGCGGATCCTGCTGTGGCTTACGTGGTCCTTGGCCTTGGAAGAGGGGGTGCTGCTGGAGGAGGCGATGGAGGCAGGGCTGTTTGGGGCGTCCTTCTTCAGTCCGCGGGCTTTTTCCAGCCCATTCTCCAGGGGCGAGTGGGCGGGGCTCACCCGGGGGGTTGCCGGATCCTGGCAAGAAAAGCAGGCGCTCACCGCAAGCAGCTCTCCCTTAGGGGCCCCTTCCCCTGACTTGAGAGGGGGCAGGCGCAGATCCAGGCCCAGCTGAGCTGCCTAGAGAAGGCACTGACCGCGCAAGAGAAATCGCAGGCCTGCTTCTCCTCAGCAGCCTCCGTGGGATGGATCCCCTGCCCTGGTTCCCTGGCATTGCCCACCCTCTGCAGATGCCGCCGCCACCGCTCCTCTGGGGAAGGGGCTGCAGCGCCAGGGGCAAGAGGGGCCACCGCCAGGCCTACCTCATTGGAGACATCGACCACCAGGTCATCACTCTTGTCGCCATCACTATCCTGAAACAGGAAACCATTGAGGGCTGTAGAAGGAAGCAAGGCCCAGGCCCAGTCCTCTCGCTGCTCCGGCTGCACCTCCTACGCCCCCCTCGCCCCCCCACCCCAGCCACAGCCATTCCCCTTTAGCAACCTTGCTCCCAAGCGGCCAATGGGAAGCTTCCTGGGCTAGGATTCAGAGCCCCCCTTGACAAGAGCAACGGGTGGTTGCCGCCAACTGGCCGAGAGTGGCCCAAAGAGACAAGTGGGCCGGAAGACTCACATAGCGGCTCAAGCCCTCCTTCTCCTCCGCCTTCCGCTTCTTGGGCTCCATGCCAGCGTAGTCGGAGCAGGCCCTGTGCTTCTCGCTGGCTCGCAGGCTCTCCAAGGGGGAGATGGAGGCGTTCTGGGGAAGGAGGAGGGAAGGCCAGGGATTAGTCAGATTGCAGGTCCAGAAAGGATTTCCCACCAGGAATAGCAAAATCGGTGTCGGGGGGGGGAGAGAGAGAGAGAGAGAGAGAGAGAGAGAGAGGAAACCCTCTGAGGCACAAGGGGGGCTACCTCCCCCCCCAGGAAACTTTAGAAAAGAAAATCAGGAAAGCATCTCCATTCTGTAAAATGCTTGGGGCACCCTGGATCCTTAGCAACGGTGCTTTTCTGAGCCAAATAATGGGACTAAAATGTACACATGCAAGGATGCACGCACACATGGAGACACACATGCCACATTTTTTGCACTATAAGGTGCTCCAAACCATACGATGCACCTAGCTTTTGTGGAGGAAAATAAGAACAAAAAACCTGCCTCGGCCTCCCAGCCATTTGCCTTCTTGCAGCAAACAGCAGAGCCTGATTTAGCACGAGCAGCTGATTGGCGGTTGGATCAGCCTCACGGAATACGAAGGATCAGCTGTTCCAAGTTGCAGGGATCGTCGCTGCCCATCACCGCTACCGCCTGTCACCGCCTCTTTGCGCCCCGTTTTCAGCCTCCGCATGTCCTTTTCAGCTGATTCCAGGCAGGAACAATTGCTGCTATCATCACCAAATGGCGACGGTGATCAGCAGCAATTGGCGATCCCCACCGCCTGGAACAGCTGATTGTCGGTATTCCAGGAGGCCGATCCAACCGCCAATCAGCTGCTTGTGCTAAATCAGGCTGTGCTGAAGTTGACCAGGGCTGGGAGGCAGAGGCCAAAGACTGGGGGGCGGTGGGTGGGCGGGGCTTTGGCAACATTCACTCTATGAGACACACACACACACACTTCCATTCACTTGGGGGGGGGGCAGTGTGTCTTAGAGACTGAAAAATACGGTAAATCCAACTTTCCTTGAAGCAGAACTAGAACTAACCCATTTTGAAAATATCACTATGATTCTCATGTTTTTTACCTATAACCTGCTAGAAAGGGTCCCGAGCTGCCCTTGCAATGGCAGAATTGGGAGAAATGTCGGGTTCTGCATGAATGGTCAGCCTCTTGCTAAGCTTTAGGCCAAATCAAAATCATTTCTGGGCAGAGTCTCCTGGCCGTGGCAAGAAGTAGTGATTTCAATATTTAAACTCTTGAGGTTAGGAATTAGCACAAAGCATCACAAGAACAAATCCCCCAAGAGATTCTTCTGACCAAGCACAGGGGAGGAGGCCAAGTGAGGCGCTTCCCAGCCCCCAAGAAAGAGGCCTTTGAATTTTATCAGACGCTTGGAACATCATGGACACCAACCTTCAACATGAAGAAGGATTCAAGCTTTTTAAACAAAAGAAAAGAAAAGAAACGTCCCTTCTGGATCCAGGCAGAAAAGACCCCGGTTGGCTTCAACTTCCGTTCTAGGAGAGAGGCCTGGCACGGGGCAGACCTGGCTTCCACTCCGCCCTCAGCCCTAGGAACTTGCTAGGGGATTGTGGGCAGGCCAGCTCTGCACGCTACCTTGAGCGCTTGAATGGAAGGCAGTTGATCCGTTTTAACACAGAAACAACCCAAGGGCCACCGTGTGCTTCCCCTTGATCCAGCCGAAACTGTAGGAAATGGGAGGGAAAAGGACCCAAGGAAAAAGAGGAGACCACGGGGCCTGTTCTTCATTATGGATCCTGCTGCCTGCTGAGGCCTAAAACTGCTTCAGCCACCAGGGAGGTTCTCCAAGAATGGACAGGGCGCAGGGAGGGCAGGCACTCTCCCCAGGAATCAACAGCCAGAAATTTGGGGTCTACCTAGATGAAGAGGGGACGGGACAGGCAGCCCGTTTCAGAAGACAGACAACTAATAAAGCGATCCAAGGTCAAAAACGGAGTTGGGGAAACGAGACACTTACCGCACTGGAGTCACGGTCTTTCCAGAATGCAGCCCAAGTCACAGCAATGGGAAGCAAAGGCAAGAAAGGAGGCAGGAGAGAAACAAGGATAAAAGAGAACATCAGTCTTGCAAAGTGGGTCTTTTCTGCTTTGGCTCAATAACAGTTCCATTTTGGCTCTTTTTCTGAAGAAGCAACCAGGGCCCAGATAAAATAATGGAGAGGAACACCAAGAGGAAGGCAGGCAGCAAGGCAACAGCTTTGCACACACCTGGAAGAAGTGGGAGAAGCCAGTGCAACGTTTGCGCTGCTGGGGGGGCGGGGGGTAGAACTCTGGGGAGGGGGGAACTGGGAGACCCTTAGCCCCTCCCTCCCCCAAGAGCCTCCAGAGACCCAAAAGCAAGAGGCCGGCAGGCCGAAGGGTCAAGGAGGAAGCCAGCTTGCATGTCCTCACCTCGGTGGTCCAGATCGTGCGAATGCTTCTCATCTTTCACAGCCAAGTGGCTGCCGAGGGCCCCCAGGGCCAAGAGCCCCGCACTGCTCCCTGTGACGGGGGGGATACCTGGGGGCGGCAGGCCTGATGGGTGAGGCGGAAGCTGTACCTGGGGCCCGTGAGGGGCCTGGGAGAGGTGCTGCGCCTGGAGCTGCTGCTGCTGCAAAAAAGCCGGGAGTGAGAAACGTCAGGAACCCAAACGAAGCACAAAACCACCTGCAAGACCACTGGAGAAAGAGCTACAGTGGAATCCAGGTGAATTGAGAGCACTTCGGGAAAGTGACCACTCTAAGTTTAGAATTTAGGACTTCCTGGAGCTTCAGCAAAAGGTCTTAGAAAACATGCAAATCATCATCAATTCTCTTGCGTTCATTCAATTTCAGGGTAGGAGTTTTTTCAGCATTAGTAAAATATTATTACTTCAACAGACAATCTAGATTTCTACCTAAGACAGCATTGAAGAGGGTCTGGGAAAAAGAGACCACTGAGAAGAGCTGGACATTGCAGCACAACCTTTTGCCAGGCACATCCGTTGGTCAAACATCTTAAGACTGAACGGTATCCTATATCCTAAAGGTGCTTTTTCAAGAGGCAACTGGACTTTCTGGTTTTTCTTTGAAGACGTTTCAGAAATCTTATTGTGTGGTAGTGATGAACATATTATTGCTAAAGTCTGTAAAATGCTATTGAATTTAAATCTGGAAAATGAACAAGTAAAGCATTGTATGACTGTATGGGCAAGGAACTTTGGATATAATGTAATGCTTGAACAATAGGAGAATTTGTGGAATAAAGGTTTACATTAAACTGTAATTTAAAAGAAAATTTCTATAAGATGGTGTATCCTTGGTATTTAATGCCAGCTAAGTTGTCAAGAATGAAATGGCCAGTTTATAACATTATTTAAAAGTAAAAAGTCGGAGAGGCGGGGCTGGCATTGCGGCAGTACAATGCGTGATCTTGAAGCTCCAAGATCGCCTTAGATTATTATGGAAAATTGTATGAACAAGAGAATATAGACAACGAAAGAGTTAAACAATACCTGCAGGAACTGAATTTACCCCCAGATACCCAAAGAGACTGAAATGATGTTAGAAAGCAATATACTGATGATGGAGTTAACTGAAGCACTTAAAAAACGAAACAATGGAAAGGCACCAGGTCCGGATGGACTCCCAGTGGAATTTTATAAGACATTACAGGAATCGTTGAATCTTCCATGAGAATAGCAAGAATGTTTAAGAATAAATCCGAATAATGTTGGAAATGTCATCAGATACCAGGTTCATATTATCATATGTGGTGGACATGTGCAGATGCAAAAAGATATTGGACTAAAATTCACACATGGTTGGAAAAAATGGCAAAGAAACACATAGACTTTAAACCAGAGATATTTTTATTGGGGATCTTATTGGAAATATACAGTAGGGAATCGAAATATTTGATTGTAAATGTATTAACAGCGGTTAGGATTGCATTTGCTAAAAATTGGAAAAATGAGAAAATACCAACGCAGGAGGAAGTTATCAAGAAAAGAATGGAACGTGCTGAAATGAGTAAATTGACATTTGAAATTAGAGAACAAGAAGATAAACAATTTTATAAGATATGGGATTTATTTTATCAATGGTTAGAACAAAAATATGGTAATGAAATATGTAGAATTTTACAATATAAGGAAAATAGAATTATACAGAATATAATACAGAGATGTATTACTATTGGATGGATTTAGGATGATAATATGAATTGCCATATTATAAATTAATTTAAAATTTTGAATATCTCATATAAAATGAAGGAATAGTTTAGTCAAATAAATGATTAACAATGATAATAATGTATACATATATATTAGATTGATAATATGAGAATCTATACAAACAATTGTAAGTGAGGACTATGGAGAGGATGCACAAAAAATTTGTAACCAACTGACACACTGTATGTATATAATTGGAAGATGGCTTTATGTTTTGTTTGTGCATGTTTGTCCAAAAATAAAAACATCTTTTAAAAAAAGTAAAAAGTTGAGGTTTGATGTTAATGCCTTATTCTACCACAAAGGGAGTCGGAAGTCAATGCCTTTTTCTTTCCCTCATTCTTCTCTTCCCTTTTCCCTTCCCTAACTTCCCTATTTACTTTTGCATTTTCTTTGTATGCTATATCATAAACTAATAAAATTGTTTAAACCATAGAAGATGTTTTGCTTCTCATCCAAGAAGTTTCTTCAGCTCTGATTCGATGATGGGGAATGGAAGCATTTATACTTCTTGCAGACAGCTGGCCATTTGCAATCTTTTAACAGGTCATTAAGGCCACCTGGAGGTTTATCTGTGTCATCAGGGTCACCGGACTGGTGCTAATGGGAGCGGAGCCTTCTTGGAACTGGTGAAAGGACTGTGTGGTAGCCTGGAGATAGATTACGTCCTCTTCCTCTTCCTCTGTTGAGAGAGGGCTGTTCAATTTTGATATGATGTTCATCCATCGTGTTTGAAGAGGACCTTGACATCTAATGGGTTGAGGGCTGTCCACGGTGTGTCCGCAGGTGGCTGGTAAGGTATATACGGGCATGGAGTGTTCTGCCACATGTTGGGTAGATATGTGTGGGCCCCATTGTTGCAGCATTTGCAGCTCTGGCTTTGCGGAGTGCTTCTTTTGTGCTGTAGTAGTTCTTTCATCTTCAAATGGATCAATGTGCGCCACGTCGATTGATCTTGTACCAGGGTTTCCCAGGAGGTGGTGTCGATATCCAGGGACTTGAAGGAGTCTTTCAATGTGTCTTTGTGTCCCTTCCTTTGTCCTTCTTGGGATCGCTTTCCTTGAGACAGCTCACCATACAGGAGCTGTTTAGGGACGTGGTGGTCTGGCATCCTTGCAACATGGCCTGCCCAGAGTGTCTGGGCTTCCATCAGCAGGGTGTGGACTGATGGCAGGCCTGCTCTGGACAGGACTTCGGTATCTGGCATGTTGTCCTGCCACCGGATCCTCAGAAGTCTGTGGAGGCAGGTCATGTGGAAGTGGTTCAGTTGTCTAGCATGCCTCCTGTGTACAGTCCAAGTCTCACTGGCATACATCAGGGTAGTTAGCACTTGAGCTTTGTAGCAAGGCTTATTCCATGGCAGTCCCACAAATTGGTCAGTAGTCTGCCAAATGCAGAGCTTGCCTTGGCAATTCTGCAGTTGACCTCCATGTCAATTGTTACTCCGCGAGAGAGGATACTGCCAAGGTATGTCAATTGGTCCACTGCTTGCAGCTTTTGTCCCTTTATTGTGATGGTGGGCTCTTGGTATTGGGCTTTCGGAGCTGGCTGGTGCATCACTTCAGTCTTCTTTGTGTTAATGAGAACGCTGAAGTTGTCGCATGCTGCGGCGAACTTGTCTACACTGGCTTGCATTTCCTGCTCTGATCCAGCATTCAGGGCACAGTTGTCTCGTAGCGCAGTCTCCTTTATCTTGGTGACAGCCTGGAGTCTTCACAAGTTGAACAGTTTTCCATCGGTTCTGTATCTCAAAAATGAGACCTGAAACAGATTTTGTGGCAAAAGATTTTGTGGCTCCTGGTGGGTTGTTTTCTGTGGGAAACGGGTCCAAGTGGCTCTTTGACTGTTTAAGGTTGCAGACTCGTCCTACGTTGTGCCATGTGCTTATGAAGTGATTGTTTTGTTTCCCCAAAGTATAGCTCACTGCATTGTGCTGCATATACCATGTCGCTCAATTTGTGCTTGGGTGTTTTATCCTTGGGGTGCACAAGTTTCTGCCTTAGTATGTTGAGTGTAAATCCTTCCATTCCACACCATCCGGTCAGAGCTGAAGAAGCTTCTTGGATGAGAAGTTAAATGTCTTCGAAGAAAAACCAGAAAGTCCAGTTGCTCCTTGAAAAAGCACCTTTGGGTCAACCGGGACCTGGATGACGGAGGATCTCCATAGGTATCCATATCATAATACGGGCAGTCCCCAATTTACAACCACAATTGAACCTACGTAAAATTTCTGTTGCTAAGCAAGACAGCTGTTAAGTGAATTTTGCCGCCTTTGTCAAATGCCTCACTAATTCCAAGTATATTATATCCACAGCATTTCTCTGACCCTCTTCTATGGCATGATCCTTTTTTTTTTTACTTTTTTGTCCTTTACTTTACTTTATTGTCAAATTTGTCAGAGCTCTTTTTGCAGCCATGCTGGTCTCGTCTGATGTCTTCTTTATTTCTCTGTGGTATTTCTCTTTCTTTCTTGGACCTCCATTATCTAATTTTTCAGGGTTTTGCAAGCATCTTGTTTTTCCTTTTAGGATTACTATCCATGGAAGGCTCCTTCCTGGTGTCTGCCTGTCTGTCTGCTCTCTCTCAGCTTGTTGAAGGCAGGCAGCTTTCTTAGAGCCTAAAACACTAGTCGGACTTGGTTCGTGTACCTGTAGTTGCATTATGGTTAACCTAATCTCTTCCTGCAGTAACCTCCTGCTGCCAAAAGAACTGGGAGTGGGGACACCAGGACTTACTTCTCACGATTCTTGTTTGTTCAGTATCAGTAGCAGACACAAGACAAACCGACACAGACAATGGCGTACAAGGCCTCTGGGAGGCAGGACACTTTTATGCACACTGAGAGCATTTGCACCAAGACAGATTCCTCGTGTGTCCAATCACACTTGGCCAAGAAAGAATTCTACTCCACTCCACTCCATTCCAGCCTCCAAAACCCACCCACACCAGGTTGCTCCCAAAAGCAAAGCAGGAGTTTTTGCAGGATAGGATATCCAGGCTCCTGGGTGCAGATCAAGTCAGTGCAGGCCTGTTCCGCAAAGCCAGGAGGTTCCTCTTGAAGCAGCTGGTTCCAAAGGGCCCCTTTCCCCAACATGGACTAAAGCCGGCCTCCCTGCAGGGGATTCAAGTGCTCCAGTCCTCCGAGGGGCCGGAGGGCAGGTCTGCTTTGGCATCCAACTAGAAGCCCTTGAGGTCTTTCCATCTCCTCCAGTTCTCCCTGGCAGGACCCTGCAATGTTCATCGAACGTCATGCCCAGCCCTGGTCAGCCGCCACCGTCTTGTGTTCCTTGTTATATCAGTGCCAAAGGATCTATCTGCACAACTGTACAACTGCTGAGCTCCCATCTTCGGCCCCAGCCCCCAAATCTCTAGATCTACTTTGTCCTTGGAGCCCTTCCCCACCGGAGGGGAAACTAGCAATCTACCAGCCCCCCCCCCCCACTTGTTCACTCCAAAGACACACTGCACATCATGCAAAGAGGCCGCAAGAGGGGGCAAGGAAGTCTGGCAGAGGAACATCTTGGGATGTTGAGCAGCTTTAATTGGATTGTGCACATCCTGCTCCGTGGCTTTGTTAGCCACTTTCATGGTTCATCACTTTCATTTCATTTGCTCACCTCCAGAGCCACAGGGTGAACCAGGGCTCCCTTTCAAAGGCCTGGAGGGGAGGGAGGAAAGCCCACTTCGGGTCATGGAGAAAGGTTGGCCTGCCCCCCCCCCCCCACTCTGATCTGCTTCCTCCCAGCTTCGGGCTCCTTGCATGCCAGGAGGTTAGTGCTAACTACTAGGGGACACGGGTCCAACAGGAAGCACAGGCCAAGGCCCCCTCCGATTGGGAGGGAAATGCCCTGGGAGGGGCTGTATCTCCACCTGCATTTTAAGCTCCCAACAGGATCTCTGCCCTGTTTCTATGTGGAACGTTTTCCAAGGAGGAGAAAACGTCAACACCTTGTGGCGTCTTACAGACAAACTAGTAACTCTTAATGCGCCCAAGAGAGTTGTGGGGCTCCTTCTCCCACCAGCCCTCACTCTGCTCCCTGCAAGGTGCTTTCCCCAGGTTTGCCCTCCATGCAGGCGGCACTCCGAGATCCCCCTGCAGAGGCCTCCAAAGCAGGGCGCCCCCAGCCAAGTCAGCTCCTGGCCCAAAGACAGTCCAGGGGGACCCCTGACTGAAGCTCCTGGAGTGGGGGGGTGGGGGGGCGCACAGGAGGGACTCCTAGGTACGTCTGCACAGACAGCAAAGGGAAAAGGCTCCAGTTCTGATCCCCAAGCTACCAGGAACCAGAAATGGCAACTCAAGGCAAGAGGAGAAATGCTATCCTGAGATCATTCCCCCCCCCCCCAAGCTGCTGTGTTTAGGGTTCTAAAAATGGGCTTGGCAACGACTGGCAAAAACACCTGGCATAACTCCAAAAACCACCTATGGGGAAGCCCCCCAGGTTGGACCAAAACAGGGAAAGCCTGCAGTCTGCATACTGCACAAACTCTGGTTCTGGAGCCGTGGGCGATTCAGTCCTGGGGAGGCAGAAAAGGCTAACGGGTCCTTTGCCTCCTGCGGGATGAGCTCCTCCTCCTCCTCACTCACAAACCGAAGCAAACGAGTTGGGTTTCTTCTCACCCAAGCTGATGCAAATCCCCAACCCCACACGACGGGTCAAAACCAAGTCACCAGGCTCCCCTGTTGCAGGACAATTCTTCCCAACATTTGCTTGGGGCTTTGACCTGCCATGAGGCCCCCCGAATGTTATCCGAGAAAGAGCCTCTGACTATCAGGGGCGGCGGGCACTGGCCCCCCAATGCCCGGCAGCCATCCAGAGCAAGCCATGCTTCAGGATGGCAGCGTTCCTCCCCACGCTTCTTCCATCTCGGAGGCCACCAGAGGACACCTGGGGCAGACAAAGCTGGCCCCAAGCACAGAAAATGGCAGAAAAACAGCCAGATTGCTTGTGGGGAAGAGGGAGGGAGGGCGGCAAAAAAATCGCAGCATTCGCACACGCAGGTGGGTGCAAAAAAGTCCCCCGAAACAGCTTCTCCCAGCAAGCAGAATGAGCTAGAGTCCGATGCAGTGAAGCAAGCTCAGAGCCAGATGTGGCTGAAGTGTGGTTGTGTGGTGGCTCTTTTGTCTGCACATACGGCAAAACCTTGACCCACGTTTTAAACCAAGGTCTGCCCTAGAGGCCAACTTTTCCAAACACAAAGAGCTGCAGCGAAGGCCAGCCCTGTGGATCCACGAGCTCTTGGCTGCTCCACAAAACAGGCAGGGAAGGAGCCTTCCTGACTCCTAGGCCCCGCAAGGCCCTTCAAACAAGACCCCAAAGCAGGACTTCCCAGAACGGAGGCAAACGGGGAACCTGTACCGTTTCAGGCAAATGACCAACCAATCTCTTCTTTAAAATGTCCAGTGATGGACTGCCCACGATTTCTGGACGCAAGCTGTCCCACTAGCTAATTGACTTTACTGTTAGGAAGTTTCTCCATAATTTCAGATTGCTTTTCTCTTTGATTAGTTTCCAATCATCGTTTCTTGTCCTGCCCTCTGGTGCTTTGGAGAATAATTTGACCCACTCGTCTTTGTGGCATTACCTCAGATATTGGGGTACTGCTATCATGTCACCCCAATTCTTACTTTTTTCTAGAATACTCAAACCCCAATCCTGCAGCCATTCTTCATATGTCTTCATCTTCAGGCCTCTGATCATCTTAGTTCCTCAACTTTTTCCAAAGCCTCAGCCTCTTTTTTGTAGTGTGGTGACCAAAATTGGTTGCAGTATTCCAGATGTGGTCTTCCTAGGGATTTATGAAGTGGTACTAATACTTCAAGTGATCCTGATTCTGTGCCTCTGTTTATATAGCCCAGGATCGTATTAGCCTTTTTGGCGGCGGCTGCACCCGGCTGGCTTGTCCACTAGGACTCTAAGGTTCCCCTCACAGTTACTGTTTTTGAGCCAAGTCTCACCTAATGCGTACTTAAACCTTTGATTTTTCCGTCCTAAATGTAAAACTTGGCTTTCCTCCACATTGAAATTCATTTTCTTGGATAGAGCCCATAGTTCAAGTTTGTCAAGATCTTTCTGGAGCCTGAGTTTGTCTTCTGGGATGTTGACTATTCCTGCCAGATTGGTGTCACCTGCAGATTTGCCGAGTTCCCCTTCTATTCCCTCATTTATGCCGCCCTTCTGCCTCGGTTCATGGCAGCAACAGAAGCTGAGTGAGGGCCCTCAATGTGAGGCAATCACAAGTCCACCTACCCCAATGATGGCATTCAGCTCCGTCATGGTCACCTGCTTGGCCCGCTCAACCGCCTGAGCCACTTGCTGCTGGTGCTGTGGAAAGACAGGCAGAAAGATGGAAGCCATTCAGAAGTCAGCCAAGCCCCAGGAGAAGCCCGGAGCTCTTGCCCTGAGGGAAGGCGCTCCGATTCTCAAGCCTTGGGTGTCTGGGGTGTCCTCGCTCGGTCATGAAGAAAAGGGCCCTGACAGGCAGGCAGGCAGGGAAGATCGGTGCCCTTGACAGGCAGACCGGTGGGCAGGGATGAGGGGAACCAGTCACAGATCCTCCTATATGGCAGCTCAATTACTGGCTTAGAGAGTGGAAAAAATGAGCCAGACTTGGCAAGAGAAAAAGTAATTAGTGCATGTAGGCCATAATTGGCTCAAGCCAATCGCATCTAGTGGGCAAGTCTTGGAAACCGCAATCTTCGGGAAAGGGAAAAGGAGCCATGAACGCCACCAGCCCACAGGCCTAAGCAAAGGAGGAAGGGGCCGGAGGGGGCCGGGAGGCAGCCGATGCCACACAAAGGGAAGTGGGTTACCCGCAGCTAAGAAGTTGGCAGGTGGGCTCTCTGGGTCTTTGCCCCACACATGCCTCATTCAGGAAAACCAGGCTATTAAGGGGCACATTGAAACCAGGCTGCCATCTGGCCTGGCACAGGAAAGAGACCACAATGGCAGGCGCAGGCAGTTTTGCAAGCAAGTGGCCTCAGAAGACGGGAAAGTGTTTCAAAGTACTTAGGTGCAGAAGGGAAAGGGCCGACACTTGTCTCCGGCTGAAAGCAAAACGGTGCCCCTGGCATTCCTGACGCAGGCCTGCTCCTGCCATGTTCCTTAGGGGTGCCCAGGTCAGATGCAGGAGGCAGACTTTGCCAGTGGGGCCTGTGGAGGAGCATCCCAAGTATAGCTTAGACCAGGGGGGTCAAACTCAAGGCCCGGGGGCCAGATCCGGCCTGCGGGGTGATTAGAACTGGCCTGCAGGGCCACCCTGGAAACGGCGAAAGACTGGCCTGCGGTGCCTCTGCCAGCCAAAACAGAACCTGGCTGGGCTGCCCACAGCCCTCCAGAGCTCTGTTGTCATTGGCAGAGGGTGACTTACAAGAGGCCATTGCAGCCGAAAACGGAGCTCCGGAGCCTGTTTACTCTGGCAGGGGGCTCGGGCCACCCCAGGCACGAGTGATGTCGAGCTGGCCACACCCACTCTGGCCACGCCCACTCTGGCCCTCCGAGGTAAAATACAGTCCTGATGCGGCCTTCAATGAAATCGAGTTTGACACCCCTGGCTTAGACTTTCCGCCTCTCCCCGCATTCCAAAGGGCATCTTACCTCTTGTGACAGAAAAGGCATGATCTGGGCGAGAATCGTGTTCAGTCTCTTGGCAATCTCTGTCTAAAAGTGTGAGGAGAGAGAGGAAAGAGAGAATGAATCAAGGGACTGTCATTGGGGACTGTCTTTTTCAGAAGAAAATCCATTCGAAATCAGCATTTATAGAGGAGACTCTGCAAGTACTTGAAAACCAAGACCTTCTTTCATCACCACAATGGAGTCGGACGTCAATGAGCCGAACCTGGGATGGCGCATCAAGTCCAGCTGCAGACCCCAGAAGCTAAACAATGTGCAAGCGTCTACACCCCTCTGCCCTCAGCCCCACCCCCACCCCACCCCCCCGCAGCTGGGCACAGGCCTTCTTCATTCAAGGAGGAGGCCTACAGCTCTGATGAAGTACCGTCCTTGAGCCCCTGTTGGAGGAGCAGAGCTCTGTTGGAAGAACCTCATGAACAAACCTTCCTACTTTAAGAGTCCCTCACAACCCTCCTTGCCTTGGCGGCCCTTCTCGGCATGGGAGTCTCTCGGGCAGGACCTGGGCGACCGAAAGCAGCCGAGGTGTTATTTCCTGGGCCTTCTCCTCCCCCCCCCCCCCCAGGAACTCCTCCTCCCTTCCGTACAGAGCAGCCACTGCAGCCCACCTACCCTCTGTTCAAGCCTGCTCTCTCCCCGGTCCTAGAGCCCCCCAGGCCCAGTACAGTTTAGCCCCCTGCATTTCTCACCCATCTTCCCCTAGTTGCGCCCCAGGCCTGACCGGCCAGGCGCTGCTCAGGAAGACGGCCTGGTCCCTGGGCTACCGGACGCTGAGGGGAACTGAAGCTTCTCACCTCTGCTGGGAATATTGCCCCCCCCCCCTCCAAGGCCTCTGTGGTGGCTTCTGTTCACTGACAATTTCCCAACAAATCTCAGAGTGAAGAGAGACGCAACCCCCCTACCCAAGTGCCTCCAGGATTTGCTAAAAGCAGAATATGGTCTCTCTCTAAGCAGATGAGCGTAAGTCCTTGAGCATCGGCAGTTCTCACTCAGGCAGACAATTAGGGGCACTTCCAGCCGTCTAGCACCCGTTCGAGTGCTCTCTCCTGTCAGGCCCTCCATGGCCCGTTGAAAGCTATTTGTGGTTGCAAGTCATCATTAGCAAAAGGCGGGAGAACCTGCTGATGAGAATTACTCACAGAGAAGAGCCTGCATGCAGGCACAAGCAGAAGCTCTGCAGTCGCCAATTGCAAAGGGCAAAGAGGACCAACGCGGGAACAAAAATGAGAAAACCGGGCCTAGATCGGGCCTGTGTGGCTTGAGGCCACGGATCTGCAAGGATAGGATTTCGAAGAGAGCAGGCACAGGGGAGGGAGAAGGGGGCTCTCCGAAAGGAAGATGCCCCCCTGGCAGATTGTGAGAGGCACAGGACGGATGGGCTGCCCCTATGGGAAGGGCACATTGGCTCAATTTCAGAACCTTTAAGGTGGAGCTGACCTTTGTGAAAGGATCCTTCATATTTGATATAATGCATGTCAACATCCCTGCTCCTGTGCAGTCGAAGCCCCTAGCTTGGTAGCTCTTTAATCGGCCTCATCAGTCCTTTATATGGTCACCAGGACACCTGATGATCGCAATGATCGTCTTCTAAACACCCCCCACCCACCCCCCAATATAGTGTTTTGTTCCGAGAGAGTCATTCCCTGATAAAACAAGGCAGGAGTGAAGGGTGCAGCTAACGGAAGTAAAAGGTTGGCCTCTTTTGAGTCAAGCGCAGCACCGGGGGATTTCACCAATACACCCCTGAAGTTTATTTTATTGATTGGCTGACTTGATTTACGTGGCCATTCAACTTCCTAGAATGACTCTGGGCAACTTACAAAGGCACAATATGAATAGCCACAACCCTTAGACTTATATACCGCTTTATAGTGCTTTACAGCCCTCTCTAAGCGCTTTACAGAGTCAGCCTCTGGCCCCCAACAATCTGTCTCCTCATATCTATTATTTCTCTGCCACTCAGTCCCACCTAGCAAAGCACTATTAATATATCTGGAATTATATGTATATAATAATATACATTATACATAATAGAATAGAATATATACTGTATAATATCTGAAATAGTACCATGTTTCCCTGAAAATGAGACCCAACCAGAAAGTAAGTCCTAGCGTGACTTTTCTGGATCCTTGTAAAATGAGCCCTACCCCAAATAGAAGCCCCAGTTAGGATGGTCAGCCAGAGCTCCGTTGCAACACACCTCTATGGCCATCCACCTTATATACAATAACTCTGGGGAACTCACAAAATGTCAGCTTTCATCAGAGTCTGAACAGGAAACCAAAACTATGAATACTAAGGCTATTTTGCTGGTAAGGTTACTGTAACACAATTGTGCAAGTCTGAAAGTTTCCCTGCCTTTCCTTTCCACAGAACTAGGGAGAGTCCCTTCTGAGACGCTTCCTCCACCCCTGCTCCTCCTTTGGACTCGACTCTCTCTTATCAGGCCCTCGTCTAAGTCAGCGTTTCTCAATCTTGGCCATCATATGAGCTTCAACCTCAATTTTCACCCTGAGAAATGCTGCTCTAAGTTGTGGCTCTTCCTCCTGTCTCCCAAGGCCATTCTCATAGCCCATTACACAAAAACAGCAATAGAAACAACTCCCAGGGTTACAACACATTGTCCCTCCTCCACTGGCATTTACTGGGCTCCAACCCCAACGATAGTGCCGAACAGGTGCCCAGAGCCTAGACTGGACCCTCCACCAATGGGCAATTATGCCATCCAGGGCCTCGTGGCCAGATTCTGAAATAGCAAACTTGGGTCTGGAAATTGTGCTTTATGAACCTCTTGAATGTAATGTCCAATGGGGTCGGGGTGGAGCTCCAGCATAGTTTCTTTAGTCAAAGCTAACCGGAGACATTCATCACGAAGGGCTCAGCTCCAGCCTGCAGGGCCCACAAAGCCACGTGAATTATTCTGGGACTCACGACTCGGGAATCGTGTGTAGCAGAGAAAGGGCAGCCAGACACCTAAGAAGGTGTTCATCTGTTCAAAACTTGGCTGAAGGGCCTACAGGACTTCGCACTCCCATTAGGAGTCCAGATTTACTTGTTGAAAACCTGGACAAAGACTGGGAGAGGACAAGAAGGCAGCTTCTCCTGAAGGCTGCTGGGCCCTTTAACCGTCATTTCGCTCTCCTTGGCTGGGCTTCCCCAGCCAGCTTGGGTCAATTGCCCCAGAATCCCAAGTAGTTAAAGGCAGTCAACTAACAGGCAGAGGCAACAGCACCAACAAGCAACCCAGATAATGAGGACTTTAGTTCACACGATTCTTACCCTGGACGGCCCACCTTTGTCCGGTTGATTCTCAAGGCTTTCAACATGGAGCATGTTCATTTCACATACACACCAGCAATTCCCAAAAATCTCTCCTCCCCCCCCCCCCCCGCCCAGAACCTATTTGTAGCCAAACATCCATAGCTGACCTTTTCTACATCCCTTTAGGCTTTATTCTTTGAGGATGTGGTCAAGAAGAGCCATGGGAAATAAGCCAGGTTCTCAAGATTGGTTTCCTCTCATGGTTAACCACGTGCGTCCCCTGTTGCCCCCAACAGCAGCTGAGGCACAACCTGAACGTTTTCTTTGCCTACCCTGGTTGACAGCCACGGAGAAGCTGTCTCTGCTCTGCATTTGATTAAGAATGCTATAGTGTGAAGTCTAGGCACACAACCCTCCTACCGCGGCCATACGGTTTTGCCACAGCCACCTTTGCTTGGGTGAAATGGCTGCTATCGGATCTAGCCCACCATCTGCCAAACCTCCACCTCAGCTGCTGCCCAACAGCATCAGCCCTCTTCGGAAGCCATCTTCCTGTGTGATGACCCGGGCATGGCACAAAGGCAACACAGTTAGACAGGCAATAAGAGTCCCTTTATTATCTCCAACTTTGTCCTCAATGTCCAGGATACCTTCTGGCTGGAGAAAAACTCTCCCAAGAACAGTAGCCTTTGCCTGCAAAAAATTAAGTCCAAAACATGAACAATACAAACTGTAACTTAAAGTCCAAACAAACCAAACTGAAGTAATTCGTTTGGGAGGGCAGAAGCAAGAACTTCAGGCCTGAAGGCATGTCAAAACTCACGCGTCTTGCCAGGAATACAGATAAGCCACGACAACACAGGATAAAGTCGCTTTGCTCCCAGCAGCCTGCCACATGCAGCCTTTCTTATCAAAACTGTCTTCCAAGCTGTGGCTAATGAAGGGAATCAGGGCCTTCTCCTCCCTCATAAGCCATGAAACTCACATTGCTCTCTTCTCCGTTCCTCCCTGCGTGCCCTAGGATGAAGAGGGGGTGGGCCTGGGGCCCTCTCCCTTGTTCTATCTCTCCCCTTGCTCTGCCCAGCCAGACTTTGCCCTTCCCCAGCCTCCTCCACAGCCAACGGAGCCACACTCCCGCTCCCTGCCAGCTGTCCGACTTCCACCTCAGATTCAGGCTCCGACAGGGCCATGACAGCCTGATACTCCCGTCGTCAAATAATACGTTACAGTACTGCATGCGAAACACCCCAGTTTGCTCTCTCGGAAGGACACTCAAGTCTCACCAGGCTTGCTAGTAGACAAATAAGCACAGAACTGCCATGCAGGTCTGATCCCTCCGATGACATCATTCTCATTTGGGAAGCTTGGAAGAACTTCAAAGGCTTCAAGTGTCCTCACTGACTAAACAAGTTTCTTGTATCTGACAGGTACTTCACTACACAAGAAAACGCCAAGATGCCTGTGCTCTCTAACCATTCCTGAAGCCACCCTACACGGCCCTGTCTCCTCTGTCCCAATATTGGCCTCCAGGTTCAGCCCCTCAAAGTCAAAGCCGTGTGTGCCGGTTCAAGGAAGCCCCATGTAGCCTTCAGGGAGAGAAAGCAAAAGCAAAGCCAACACCACCAAAGATGCTCCTTTGATGTCACCCAGCAGTATTTCCCCATTAAAGAATTCAAACCCCTCCAGATACACCTCCAACATTCAGCAAGGGAGCCGATGGTCCATCAGAGACTGTTTATCACCCAAAACAAGCCACAGATTGAATGGGGACAACAGAGGGGGAAGAATAACCCCTCCCTAATTTCCTTGCCCCAAATCTATCCATTATGTCCCTATGGTACCCATGACAATTAATTAGCCTTCTTCAGAGTCTGGGACCTGAAATATGATGAAATCCTAATTCCCAGAGGCCCGAGACAGCTGGGACTGAGTTATAATTGGCATCTCTGGAAGGCAGCCAGCTGGGGAAAAGGCTGTATTAATCTGTAGCTACGTACATCCATGGTAGCTTCAAGAAAAGGACCAGGTAACAAAGGTAAAATCAGAAAGCGGCAGCAGGTGCAACCAAGGACGCTTATCTGACCGGATTGCCAAGGAGAAAGGCCGGACAGTTGACGCAGGAAAGAGAGCCCCGTTTCTCACAAGTAGCCAGCGTGGTTTGTGTGCGCCTTGCAGGGAGAGCAGTGACTCAGGGTGACAGGGGAAGCCTTCAGCCAAGGACGGTGCTCTCCAAGGCCTCCTCTCTTCTGCTGAGCGAGCTTTGTCCCAGGGCAGCAGATCAAGACCGGAGGCTGGTCCTAGCAGGCTTGAGCCGTAGGCCAGGCTTTGCCAAGAGGCTTCTGCAGAACCAGCGTTTCTCAAAAAAAACAGAAACCCCATAGCCCCCTCCCTCCCTCCCTCCCCATTTCATCAGAATGGATCTCAACAATCCTTCCTTTAAGTTTCATTCTCACAAGGGAGGCTGGAGGCTGATCAAGGGGGAAAAGCCTCCCCCTCCCCGTTTTGTCCAAGGGAAAGCAGCCAAGCAAGGCCGTTGGGTGGGCTGGCTCCCTGGCTCTCCCTCTCTCCAGCAGAGGGGACAAAGCCAGGGTATGCCTCTCTCTGGCCAGGCGGCTCAATCGAGGGCACATGGGTGCCCCTTAAGGGCCTGGGGAAGAATCCCCGGGGATTACACGGGCTGTGTCCTTTCACAGCCTCTGCTCTGTGTCCCATCACGGTGCTTTCTTTTCCAAGCCACCCACTTTTCCAGACCCACCTGCACAATACAGGATGCATTCTTTGCTCCCGATCACATGCGCAGCACAGTGCTCCTGCACTATTTCTAATCAAATACTAGTGACAAGTGTTTCCTTACAAGATAAGCAGTTGGCCCCTCACTTTTGACTAATTAATAAAAAACAAATAACCAGAAACCCACTTTTCAAGGCACCTGCAAAAAGCAGCCGCCAGATGGCTTTGTGACCTTAATGAACAATCTGACGGGGTTCCAATTCGTAGCCATCAGCCAGATGAGTGCCACCTCTGCCAACTGCAAGATGCCCAGCAGATGGTGGATGGGGGGGCGGGGGGCTCTAAAGGGGAATCTGGGTTCAAATTGGGAGAGGTTCACAGGGGTAGCAAGCAGGTCACTGTCTGTTTGCCCACCCATTTGGCAGAGCTGTCAGAGGGGGAAATGAGAGGACAGCGTGTTAGGATCTGGCTTGAGCTCCCGAATGAATGGTGGGATATTTTTTTCCAATAAGGACATAAATATACTTAAAACGTACTCTTGCTTAAAGCAAGGCAAACTCCAAGATATGCAGTATTACAGCTGAAATGAAGTTTACTCGCAGAGTCAAGGAAGCCCCACTGTTCTGTGACTCCTTTAGTCCTCCTGAATTCAGGCCAATGGGAAGAAAAGCGCTCCCCATCCACTCCCACCCCCAATTGCACCCCAAAGACTGAGGGTTCATTCTGAGACTCCCCTGGGAAAGGCTTTCAGGGAAGGCACTCACCTGCTTGTGCATTTCAATGTTCAACCCGTAAGACATTTCATAGTACTGGAAAACAGAAGAGAGACAAGGAACGTTTTAGTCACTAGGCAAAAAATGTTGGGAAGAAACGAGGCATGCCCAAAATTCAGTATCAAAACCACAAAACTGGATTTCGTAGGACCTCAATCTCAGCAAGCTTCACATACCCAAACGTCATCGGAGAGGCCATGACACCCAAGTTATTCCCCTCTGCCTAGAATAACGATTGGACAGCCACAACCGTAGGGAGGGTTTGTGGCAGCAGTGAGTGTGGTGACCAAACATTTACCCACCACTGATCTTTTAAAAAAATAAATAAAAGTTTTTTATTTTTATTTTTACACATCTCTTCACGTGAGCAACATGATTCTGGATTATAACACTTGTACGTGGTCATACTTTCATTTCCATTCATCTTATATAATACCATCTCATGTTATCCATTTCACTCAACTTTAAATAAATTTGCATTTCATATTTCAATTCATTAGTTCAATATCAATATCATTTCATCCACACATAGGTTTTCAATTCTTTATCCCCTATTATTTCCATTTTCAGCCTACCACCTATTTTATTTTACATTACACGTCATTATTATCCTTAATTTTCTCTAGCCGATATACAATAAATAATCTAAAAAAAGTAAAGGCAACATAACGCCAATGTATTTAGGATCCACATGGTGTTTTCCATTCCCCTACTTTAATCATAATAAAATACTCTCATTATATACTTCCAATATCCATTAAATCAACTGTATATTTTTAAATATATTTTAAGATATCACCCCCCAGAAAATTGCTAGAGTAACTTCTTAATATGTCTCATTTTATCTTCACTTTACTCATAATCATTAATAATCATGTTTTTCTTCCTTTCCCCTTAGCCAGTTTGTCTATGTATTTTAATTCATTTCCATTCCCATGTTTAATCCTCCAGAGAAAGAGTTCATAAGAGCATAATTCATATACAATTTGTATGTATATTTGTATTTGTATTTGTGTATGTATGTGTATGTATATATATATATATATATATATATATATATATATATATATATATCTTTGGTTGTTCGGGTTTTCCACATACAAATACCCGCGAGAACCTCAGAAAACAAATACACACACACACACACACACACACACACACGCATGTGGATATATGTTTATGTATATATATAATGTATGTACGTATGTATGCATGTGGATATATGTATATGTATATATGTAATGTATGTATGTATATACATATATGTATGTTATTCAGCTTTGTTCGGGTATTTTCCCACGTCATTGTAGTTGTGCTTTTAAAGTCATAGCAACGTTTCGGCAGAATCTCATCTGCCATCACCAGGCTTCTATATTGTGTTCGTCTATATATGTATATAGATAGATAAATAATTATACAGTCCTAAAATATTTCCCAGCAAGTTTTAAACTAAGTACCAATATACATTCCCATGTGGTATCCCCCTTATAAAATCCCTAACCCTTATCTCTAAATTTCTTGGCTTTATTATTTCTTTTAATTTTAGCCAGCTTTCCCTTTTCTAAGTTTCCCCAGTCTTTCTTCTTTTTTCCTTCTAATATTACTTTTATTCCCCTCTGCCTGTCAGCCATGTTTCCCCCCACCCTTTTCAGTTCTTTTTGGGGTTTCTTCTTATATAATTCCTTCTTCTTCTTAGTCTTAGGAGCCTTATTTCTTTTATTTGTTGTTTCTGTTGTCAGTGTCTCTATTTTAAATCCTTTGGCAATGGTCCTTGTTCTCCATATTCTTCTAGGCTGTTGCTTTTCTCTTCCAACTCGTCATGTCTGGGCTTTCTTTGTTCTTCTGCAAGCTGTGATGCCATTACTTTACTAATCATTGTATCCAGCAATCTCATTCTTTTTTTTAACATACCTCTCCCAGTTTGTAGCTCCGACTTAAATTCTTTGCTTACTTCTTCCATTTCTTTATTACAGATCAAATTTTTCTATTATAGTCCTTGCCAAAAGTCTCCATTTCTCTCACTTTTTCTTTCTTCTGGTTTTTTTTGTCAGTCAGCCTCCAGCAGTCCCAAAATATTGTATTCCTTTATATTTTACTGTAGTCGCCGCTTTTTTAAAAAAGCTTCTGGGGTTCATGTTGCATTAATAATCTTTTATTCCATTTCATCTTTCTTTCAAATATTTATACGACTAGTAATTTCTCATAAAAGCATAAAAGAGGAAAATCTTTAACCATTAGGTGGTGCTCTATATCACTTTCTTTTCAAAGTTTTTTACTTTTTAATTCTTTTCCGTAGTATTAACGTTAAATTTTATCCATTCCAAATAAATCCAGCATTTTATCCAATGCCTAATTAATGTCCAGTTCTGTATATTAGTCCAAATTTAATCTATGTTTTCATATAATTCTTTTATTTCCGGTTTTTCCTTTACCTTATATTTTCCTCTTATTCTTTGCTTGCTGCTACCATTCTTCCAAACGAGGACTCTTTCTTTCCGCTTTTTGGGGTTTTCAAAAAAAATATTCAAAGTCTTTTATCCAGTTACACGCCGCTCACCACTTCCACTCTCCAGCACAAACTTAAGTCCTGGCAGCTTCCTGTCTTCAGGGCAGCCATTAAACTGCCACTTTTCCCTGTCTTCTAGGGGAGTAGATACCAAGCCAGGGAGGGGAGATGCAGCTCCCCTCAACCCAGCTGGCAGTCTCCCTCTCTTCCCCCCACCCCTACAAGGTGGGTCAGATGGTTCGGTCCCTCAGGGACCCTTCCAACAGGGCAAGCACGGATCAAAGCCGCGCACGATCGCAGTCTATGGTCCATCTTCGATGGAAATGCTACCGGAGGTCCCTCCCACCACTGACCTTAAATCCCCCTGGGGACATTGGGAGGCCACCTCCAGCCCAGTGATCCTTCTGGGTGAGTTCCCCAAAAGAGAAGTGACACTGAACACAATTCTGGTAGTTTCGTAGAGCAGCCCTTCCTGACGTCGTCTTCAAGTAGAACCTTTGACATGCCCCAACAATCTGTGCGAAGCTCAGAGCCTGTAAAACCCACTCCGACCACACAGAGCCCTTGCTACCCCTGCCTTAAGAGGAACAAAGAGCAGGCCAGGAACCTCAAACCAGGATCCACAATACAACGAAGAGTTTTCAGTCACACAACCAGGGCAGTCGGGGTTACGGACCAAACGTTTGAGCAAAGGGCCCATGTTAACCAGACCACGCAGGGCTGGGCATGGGGGAGCACCCAGGCACCCCAGCTGGGGAGGTCGGAGCCTGCAGTCAAGCCAGAGTCTCTCCCCCCTCCCCTCCAGAGTATGACCGTTGGGGCTACTTCTGGGAGCCCCAATAAGCGGGACTAAAAAGTGAGGAGCAAGCGGATCCCTCCTGGTCCTGTTCACACAGAGCCTGAAAAGATCTCTCTTACCATGACATAGTGGCGCTGCATTTCCGTCTTTTCATTTGCAAGCTTATCATACTCCACTTTCAGACTGAAAAATAGGAAAGGTTAAAGTGAGATGACATGCAAAACATCCTTCCTTCAAATACAAAGGAAGGAAACAGGAGAGAAGATGAATGCTTTGACCCGAAACGCTTCCTTCCTTCCTGCCTGTCTACTAGCGGCTGGTGCTCCTAAAAGGGTTGCAGCCTTCCCCCAAATGGACCCTGGCCCACAGAGCTGGAGGCCCAAAGGCACCAACGCCCCCCGTTCTCTGAAGTGGAGGCCTCCGGAGGGACCGGCCTTCCAAGCTCTCCGAATCCACAACCTGCCAAGGTCCATTCAAAGCAAGGATCAAGGACAAAGAGGTAAATCCTTGGAGGTTTCGGTTAAAGAACCACCATTCCCGGAGTTTCTTTTTAGACAGGTAGTCCTCGACTTACGACAACAATGGAGCCCCAAATTTCTGTTGTTAAGTGAAACATTTCAGTGAGTTTTGCCCAATTCCATGACCTTTCTTGCCACAGCTGTCAAGTGATTCACCGCAGTTGAGAAGTGAATCCAGTTTCTCCATTGACTTTGTTTGTCAGACGACACAAAAGGTGATCACTGAACCTCAGAACACAGCAACGGTCGTAAGTAGGAACCAGTTGTCAAGCGTCTGAATTCTGATCACATGATTAGGGGGATGCTGCAATGGTCGTAACTGTGAAAAGCGGTTGTCAGTCACTTTTTTCAGTGCCATCGTAACTTTGAATGGTCACTAAATGAACTGTTGTAAGTTGAGGACTAGCCGTACAGTTCAAGCAAACAGCAGGCAAACCCAGTGGGGTGGGGGTGGGGGAGCACCAGCTGCTCCGGGCTTCCTTAGCCAGCCAGAAGATGGGACGGCCAAAGAGCCAGCAGCCCCTCATTCCAGAGCCAAGGGTCTCCACGGGCTGCCCAGTCAGTCAGTCGTGTCCACTGGGGCGCAGGGAGCCAGCACTGCCCGAAGACAATCCCCATGGCCCCGTGGCCAGCAGGGCCACACACCCCAAGCGCCCTTCCCAGCCAAGGGGGACCTGTCAATCTCCTGGCCCCTGCCTGCTTCCCAACTGCCGGGAGGGCAGGAGCTGGGCCCCAGCAAAGGCCGGCACTCAGGCCCAGAGGCTCTAGCGCACACCTTGGAATCCAAAGCATTTGGGGGGGGGGGGGCCCAGGGAGGAGAAGGGGGGGCTTTCCCCAGAGGAGGGCCACCTACTTCCTCCCCCCCCCCCCAAGGGTGCCCCCGAAGGCCCGGCTGAGAGGAGGGATGCTCACCTGTGGTACTGGGCCTGCAGGAACTGGAACTCGTCCTTAATCCTGTCACAGGATTCAGCCACGGTGAATTTAAAGCCAGGCTGTCCAGGCTGGTGGGGGCCCTGAGGAAGAGAGGCGTTGAGAGGGGCCCAGGCCAGCGCAGCCGGGCCGCCCTTCCCCTCCCAGCATCCCGGGCAAAGGCTGGGAGATCCACCCGGGCTCTTCCCCCGAGGGAGCGGGCGATTGCCTGGAGCTCGACGGGGGCGCGGGGGGGGGGGGGGG